ACAACAGCAGCAGCAGCAGCAGCAGCAGCAGCAGCAGCAACAGTCACGGTCTCAAACGCTGGTCACGAGGATTATCGAGCTCGGCGACCGCGACTCCAAGATGGCACTTAAACGCCAACTGAACCTTCACCTCGACACCGGTGACGAGCTTGGTTAGAATGCCTTTATTTCGATTGCGCTGTCACCCGTTGATTAAGTCGCTTTGCCGACACGGAGGATGAGCGTCGGAGTCGCGTAGCTTTTGTACAGGGAAACCGGATCTCTCACGGCAACCCCAACGCTAATTCCCATCGCTATTTTACGATTATTTGGAAGGCGCGCGAGCAGAGCTTATTTCCCCACCTTCCTCGGGCTATAATCCCATTCTCTCTCTCCCTCTCTCTCCCCCTCTCTCTCTCTCTCTCTCTCTCTCTCTCTCTCTCTCCTTCCTTCCCTCCCCGCTGTCTCTCTCTCTCTCTCTCACTCTCACACTCTCTCACTCACTCACTCACTCACACTCACTCTCACTCTCACTCTCACTCTCACTCTCACTCTCTCTCTCTCCCTCTCTCCCTCTCTCTCTCACTCTCTCACTCTCTCTCTCCCTCACTCTCACTCACTCTCTCACTCTCTCACTCTCTCACTCTCTCACTCTCTCACTCTCTCACTCTCTCACTCTCTCACTCTCTCACTCTCTCACTCTCTCACTCTCTCACTCTCTCACTCTCTCACTCTCTCTATCTATCTATCTATCTACGAATGGTTGAAAATGCTTGAGATATTGGTTGTGTCGAGCGAGGCCGCGATTAGGAAAAACAATCGAAAAGTCATTAGCTGCTTATATTGTACCTCATACCATAGGATGAAACGAATAGTAAAAACAATGCCTACAAGTGCAGGAATTGCACGCACTTATTGATTATACTATCACTTTCTCCTCCTCGCTTTCATCCCCCTTCCTTCCCTCGCCCATCCATCCCCCCTCATAGCCGCCAATAATGCGCATTCCGTTTAGGACGCCGCAATCTCTTATTGTTCAAATCCACGTCCCTTCCTTTAATCCAATGTTTCGTAATAATTGAACGCGCGACAGGCCGATCTCATTGACCATATCTACATTTATTTTGGCAAGAGGCTGCTTAACTGCTCTTTAAATGTCCAATAAATGACAGTCAAATCAAAGTATGCGTAATGATAATTAGCCTCGAGACTTTTAACGACAATAACATGTTGGGCCCAGGGGGTTATCGATACATCGATTGGGTACGTTTAATACAGAACGAGAGAGCGAGAGTGAGAGAGATAGAGAGAGAGAGAGAGAGAGAGAGAGAGAGAGAGAGATAAATGAAAAGAAAACAAAGGAAAACAAAGGAAAACAAAATATTCAGCTTTAGCATAAAAACCAGATAAAAACCAAATGTGACTACAGCGTGGAGGGAAATGCGCGAGCATACCTTGTGTGACTGAAGTTTTATGAAAAAAGTGCGCTCCCTGATAATGGCCTCGACGCTCAATCCTTTGATGGTGCTAAGCGCACTGGGTCCATACCCGCGATCGTTCGAGCGAATTGGTCCGGAGGGCAGCCGCGATGCGAGGGGTTTAACGAGGGGAAAGTGGGCGATCAACTGATTTTGCCGGGGTGTTTATGTTATTATGAATACGAAGCTGGGAAGATGCACGAGGCCTCAGCGTCCGAGGAGCGCGAGGGTCTGGAGATACTACGCAGGCTGCCGCCCGGGACCGTCCTTATCAAGCAGGTCGAGGCGAAGAATCTTGTGCAAAAGAGCGAGGAGGAAAGGCCGCGGAGGGAGGAGAATTGCGCCGAGAGACCCCGAAAACTCTCGCAGAGGATCCGTAATAAGAAGTGAGAGGCTTTTTTTTCATCAGTTTATTGAACGGAAATGAAAATGGAATGGAAAAGAAAAGATTCTTACACCGCCCCCCCCCCCTTCTCCCATCATTACCCGATTGAAATCTTTATCTTTTTTTCTGTTTTTTTTTCTTCCGTTTTTCTTCATTTTTCCACCATATTTATGTATATATGTATGTATGTATGTATGTATATATATATATATATATATATATATATATATATATATGTATTTTTTTTTTGTTTTTTTTGTGTTTTTTTTTACACGAATTCGTGCTCATTGTATCGTTTCGGATTTACATTCATCGGGTGGAAAGTCGAAAAATGAAATAATAACGTGATAAACGAAGCGCACGGCACGTCGAAAATTTCAAATAAAAAGCCGTTTCACGTTTGTCTATCGATCGGAAACTTAGACAAGGAGGAGCTGTAATAATAGTTAAAGTTACATGTGTCAATTTTTCTATTACGGTATGAATTATAAGTAATGCTTTATTCATTATTTTCACAAAGTTATATTTTAAATTTTGCCATTTTTTTTACAAATCCAGACAATTTACCAGATATAATGATAGACTTGTCGCCTCTTTTTTCAGGCTCCCTAATCAAAATTTAAACATTGTATTCTTCGAATCTGCAATTATTACTTGTTAATTTCTTCGGTTAAAATAATTGATGTGAGAGAAGGAATTTTCCTCTTTATCTGTCATGCTTTTAGCTGTGCATTTGCATGTATATGAACGAAAGCCAGAAATATCGTGCGCAAACGGATAAGATTTGAATTATAAATTTATTTCACTTTTAGAGGATAATCAGTCAAAAGTTGTACACGTTTAATTATTCATTACAAGCGATCGGCAATTATAATGGTTGTAGCGTTTGTTTATGTTTGTGTATACAAGTATCGTTTAACCTAGTGGTATAGAGATGAGACATTAATAAAGACGGTAAAGTAAACTATTGAAACGTTCTTATAGATAAATATCATTGACCGAATTATTTAGCAATTTTGTTTTACCGCACACTTACAAACGGACATTGATTTATGAAATATTTAATGTCACTTTATTGGCAATTAACAGCCCCTCTAGACAATATAAAGAACAATCTTACCTATCCAACAATATTCATACGATTTTAATGTTCAAAATTCATGTTTCCGTTAATTATGCAACATGTAATTGATACTCGATAATCGAACCACAATGATGTTTGCGACACTTTGCCAAAATGAGAAAAGCGTCGTTACGTATGTGCGCCCTTGGAACGCTTCTCTTCAATGCTCGCTTTTTCCATTGGATTTTTCCAAAAGGGAAAGGCGAAAGGAAACCTTAATTGTTCGACGTAAAAATTCAGATTTATCGCCACTTGCTTGCCTCGTAGTTCCATGTCCACTCTAATAGAGCGATCGTGGAAAGTCCAAGGTTAAAGCCCTGCAGAAAGTGGATTGGGCGAGCGACGCAAGCCACGTTGACTTTCACCGGGCAAAGTCCTCGCTTACTGGACCCCACCACTATAGGGTAAGCACGCTAAACTCCCTGTGTACGTACCCAGAACCCTGGAGGTCCGGCGCAACCCCCTCCGCTCGGCCGCCCGCAAGGACTTGGGCAAGGAGGGTCGGACAAACCCGCGACAGCGACTCCTCGGGGCAAGGAGGCGGGCCGTCGCCGGGACCGAGCAGGGCGGTCGGCGGCCCCGACCCACCGCCTACATGAATACGCGCAGCGTCACCCGCAAGATGTACAACGTCGGGGCGACGTATCAGGCTCCGACGAGGCGCGACGAGACCGAGTGGAAGGAGTGGCCCGTGCACGGCATGCACGAGCGACCGGTCTATCATCCCCAGGTGCGTAAGCCATTGTTCCAGCATCGACCCGGAGGCGCTCGCTCGCTCTCTCGCTCGCTCGGCCGACCTCGCTCATTTCTTCGATCGACGGGCGCCTCCGACCTCCCTCACAGTCTCCAAGGCCACTCGAGCTGCGCTGCTGGCTATCCTCTTATACTTACTCGCCAAATCGATTACAGCGGCACTTGTCCTCTTCGCACTTGCCTCGATATACCCCGGCTTAAGCCTCTCGCCACTGATATTTATCACGAGCGAGTACGAAGAGCAAGTTTTGATTTTTTTATTTTCGAACGGCTGGTTTATTCATACGTTATAATGACTTTTATCGTAGCTCGATTTACTCGACCTTGCTTATAGCTACATATAATACATACAACGCGCACAGCCACAATTTCACGCACACACCTATAACGATGCGCATACCTGTACGTGTGGTTATTTTGTTTGTAAACTTATTTTTTTATAGCCAACCACTTTATGCATTATGCAATTAAAAATATTACATCTTTCCTCGTTACTTTTACAAACTCAACAACTTTCAAGGTATTGAAATTGAAATCAACGATGGCTAAAAAATAAAAAAGAAAAATAGTCGTCGATTAATTGTAAACGCACTTTTTATCACGCACGCATACGCACAACAATACACGAAAGCGACGGGAAAAGCAAATGCACGCATACGCGCGATCACGGACAACAATAATGTAATAAGCGCAAGCTTAAAGTGCTCGAACTGAATAATGTTGGCAAACATGATTCTGTTGGAAGGATTGCCATCGTGAGACGATTTCTTACTCATTTCCTTCTAATTTCTTCCACATTCAACCCGTCCCCTCAACTACGAAGCCTAACCGTGAAGGCCGCATGTCGGCTAGTTGAGGTTAAAGGGACAATCACAGCGTTCTCCTATCATCACCTCGTCAATTACAACAACAACAACAACAACAACAACAACAACAACAAAGTCGAATTAAAGAAAGGAAAAAAAGACGGTCAAGTGCGCGCGTACAGAGTCATGAATCGCCGTTAAAGCTCCCGTCGTATTAAAGTTTCGCCGCTGTGATCGCCAACGCGATAAACGAAGCCGGCAGGCAGCTCTGCCTCCTTCCCCTTTCCCACTCATACCACCACCCACAACCATCACCCACCCCCACCCCATAAAAGTAAAGCAACTTAACCGCTCAGTTCGGCCTCGCGGCCGAGTACAACGGCCGGCTCTTCGCGAGCTTCGACGGGGAGGGCTACCGGGAAATAAACGCCGAGGCCCACATCGAGATCGTCCGGGTGGACCCGCGGGTGGAGTCGCTGGACCGGCGCCGGGAGGCGCCCCTGCAGCTCGCGAGACAGAAGGCCGCCGTCACCGCGGTTGTGCACCAGCAGCTGTACGAGAGGCCGAGGATCCCGGCCCTTTGCGGATTCGGCGGCCAGGTCGCGGCCCTCGAGCAGACCCGCGCGGTGAGCCAGGCGACTTTTGTCCAGCTTTCGCGGAGCCGCTGCTGCTCCGCGCGCGCGCCTAGGCTAATAATGTGCGCACTCACGCGTTGCTGAATCTCACCCCTGAGAGGTCATCCCTCTCCCCGCGAGGGAGTGCGACCTCGAGAGGCAGCCCTTGTGACGGCGAGTTCTTAATCGCCTACGTTGCTGCCCGCCGGCCCTCGCATCCCTTGCTCAGTCACGGATTTTCCGAGGCTCCACTCTCTTCACTTACTCACTAACTCTCTCTCTCTCTCTCTCTCTATATATATATATATATATATATATATATATATATATATATATATATATATATATATATATATATATTTACTCCGAGCATCCGGCAATTATAATACACGCAATTTGAAAACTTCATACGATTGCTCTTGCAGGTGAAAACTTTTATGTAAGTCCTTGGATAATGATAATATCGCGAAAGCGAATTACGCAAGTGCACCCGTTTTTTGAAAAATAACTATGAAATAGCTGTGTTTGAGACTTGGGAATTAATTGACGTTACGATTAATTGTTGAAAACGAGCTTTAATCAGCCATAAATAAAGAGCATTGCATCGATGATGGAGAATAGCGTTTGTGCGACCACGATGCATTTCACGAATTCGTGTGAAAATTATAATTCCCGGATTGCGTGACAAGAAAATATTCAATTTTCATCTAACAAATCTCATTACGCATCTCGGTACTATTGATTCAAATTTCCTTAAATCCAAATTTCATTAGAAATACAGCAATTCTTGGAATTTCCATTTCCAAGTTCATCTATTCACAAAGTTTGCGTTATTGCAATGTGAACGAGTGAATCGGTGAATCATGCTTTCCCGTATTAGTTGTTAAAAATTTTAGAAACCTCTCTCCCACTTTCGCGCTACCGACGCTCCTCAAGGCGACGATCTCACGTCGCACCTGAAAAACAATCAAATCCGACCTCCAATAGCCACCATCAAGACGCTCCATAACGTTTGCCCTCCAGAACCTTGAATTGGCTCAGCAACAGCAACAAAAACAACAACAACAACAGCAGCAGCAGCAGCAGCAGCAGCAGCAGCAGTTTGAGCAAATACGGAAACTCGAGCGACTACAGCAGTTCGAAAATAGCCTCCAGCGTCTGGGTCACAGGATCTCCTGCCCTCAGGACATCGACGGCTACCAGCAAAAGTACGCCACCAGTCGGCTGCTACTCCGATCCAAGGAGATGCTGAGGAGTCTCCGAGGTGTCACTCTTGCCCATCCCTCCAATCAGTCCAATCCATCAAAGTGCCTCATAATGCCGCGCGCCGCCACCGCACCCGTTGCCCTCCCCTTCTGCGGCGTCCAGGCAGTCAAGGGCAATCCCAAAGGTACGTACGCCCATACGTAAAGGAATTAACGGAAGCACAGGTATCGTGACCTTCGAGCGATACAAGCGAGCGCCCGATTGTCCGCGGCTTTATACGTTTGCAATGCGACTGCGCGACGATGCTTTAAAAACGCTAAAAAAGTGATTTTCTACCCTCCCTTCCCACCTTTCCATTCCTCACCCCATTCCTTCAATTTACCTTTATAGGCGCACATTTCCAAATAGTGACTACGCGAATTCGTACCAGTGATCATATCACTCTTGCTCCGGTTCATTTTATAATCCTTATTATAGCTCGTGTGTCCCTAAACTTCATCAAAGTTACAAATAATGCCATTTTAGGAGTGAACTGTTTGATTAGGCTTATGGCAATAAGCCATGAGAGTGTGCATAAAATGATATACTAAATAATAATATGTAATCATCAATAATCACGGTCAATCAGTAATCAATCAGTAATCACGGTTAAAGTCCGAATACAAACATTTAGCATTAAAATAAAAAAAGTAAAAGGCTTAGATTAATGGGGCATGCGTGATTTGTCGATAAAACAATACATATACATGTGTGTGTGTGTGTGTGTGTGTGTGTGTGTGTGTGTGTGTGTGCGCGCGCGCGCGCGTGTGTATGTATATACGAGTAGTAATAGATAAAAATTAACGTATAATAAAAAAAAAAAAATACGTATTTAAATAACGATAAAATTACGTATATTACATACAGTAGATTGTTTATATAAACTTTCAACTTGTCGAGGTGTCGACGATGAATGAGCGGCGTTTTCTTTTTATTTTTTGTTTTGCGTTTATTGATGAAATACAGACGATTTGATAAGCTGTCGCTTTACGCCGTCGTAAGTAGCATAAAGTTACAAGGCTCGATCGAGCCTTAGAAAATCATGTGTTTGAAAAAAAAAAAAAAAAATTTCTCCGAGCTAATTAACGCCACGAGTAAGTCGAGTATACATGGAGCGATTTTCTTTTCGGCGCGCGCAAATAAACAGAAAAAGAACACGCACTTGGCGGGTTAAGGGCGAATGGCCGGTGTAGTATATTAAAGTGACAATCGACCGTAAAAGTTTATCGTAGTAGCGAATATCGTCAAATGATGGATTTGGAGTGGTGCTGCAGTGGTGGTGGCCAAGTAAAAATAATCAAACGGAAAATACGGCTTTTTCATGCGTGAAAAACCGCGGCGACGTTTTAATATAGAAGCGTAGAGTCGCGTACGAGTGACGCGCGATGCAACGCTGCCCAATGCGTAACGGCGAATTAATGAAAGGCGTCTGAAACGCGTAGGCAAGCTCTTCTTCGTGAGGGCCTCGGATGCGCCAAAGCCCCCGGAGAAGACCTCGACGATCGGCTCGACGATGACCTCAGCGAGCCCGAGCGTCGCCTGGGCGGACGCGAGCCTGCGCAAGAAATTGGAAAAGTCGACGGTGGTGGCGATCGAGGCGGCGCGCACCTACGCGGGTAACCCGGGAAAGAGCTGCAGGCAGCCACGGCACCTGCACCACGTCGGCAGAGGCTTCCCCCCCATAAGGCTCGCCGAGACCCCGGGACTCTTCCGACTCAACCCTGGCATCAGCTCGAATAAGTGCAATGGCGGAGACTTTGGCTTCAGGAACCCCGGCCCCGACGACCATCTATCGGAGGTGCTCGACCTGTCCAAGAAGGAGACGCCCCGGGCAGAGGCCAGAATGGAGCTCGACGTCAAGCACGACAAGCAGGGTATTTGCAAAGCTTTCATTGGCGATTATAAAATCATTGTTTAACAAATGGCAACAAATGGAACAAATGGCTTAAGGAAGCCTGGGTAATAATGTACGAGGGGTAAAGGAGAAAGGAGAAAGGAGGGGTGGAGCTCGTCCGCCTACGGTAACTAAAGCGAGCAAATCAGAGCTCGTCGTTTAGTCCTTGGGTTAAAGAACTTTTTACGACGAGCGTCTGTCGCGCGACGGGACGCGTTTCGTGCCCATTGCTTGGGAAAAGCTTGGACGACCGCGAAACGGGGATGGTGTTGGGTTGAGGGCGGGCGGGCGGGGTGAGAGTGTGAGTGAGAGAGAGAGTGAGAGAGAGAGACTCTCTCTCTCTCTCTCTCTGTGTCTGTGTGTGTGCGAGTGTGTGTGCGAGTGTGTGTGCGAGTGTGCGCGAGTGTGTGTGCCTGTGCGTGTGGGGTGGGGGGGGGGCGGGGGGGGGGCGAGTAGAGGAGTGAGGGTGAAAGTGGAGGAGAGAGAAGAGACATTACTTACAAAGGGCGTAGTTTTAAGTTGCGATGACTGCACTAAGTAATATTGTAATTGTATCAATTGGAAAGGCTTTTTTTACAATATGGAAATGTATTTATTTCTGTACATAATCCGCAGGATTTTATCTCATTAAATAAAAAATTCGATTAATCAATTAATGTGCATTCCCGGAGATTGTAGAGGCCATTTATGTTATTAAAATTAAAAATACCATTTGTAGAGCTCCTGTCATTTAATAAATGTCTCTTTTATTTTTTTTTTGTAGAGTCACAAGCTTACGCCACTGATTTAGTTCACTACTTCCAAAATTTCAACGCCGACGAAAATATCGATTTATTCGATGATCCTAAAAATTTAACCTGATATATTGCGTTCGTTTAAAAAGTTTTTTGAAGATTGTCGCTTAGTCCAATTTAAAGAGATTCAAACTTTATTGTTATTATTACATTAATGAAAAGAAGAAGAAAATAGAAGAAAAAAAGAAAAATGAAAAAAAAAGAAGATAGTATTATCGACTTTGTTGACAGATTTTTAAAATTATTTATAATATTAATTAATAATAACACAAGTTGCAAGTTTCTTTGTCGTGTAATGGCATTATGTGATAATCGATTTTTTTTTTCTTTCTTTTTTTTCTTTCTTTTTTTATCGATAGATTAAAATGAATTTTTATAAAATACTTTTTGTACATTTTATACGACTTATCGCGTTTGAAAGCATGTGTGCACGAATTCATTATGTTATATTTCAATAATTTAACACCTACCACTACGACATTGTATATAATTGATTAAAGCAATAGGTTAAATGTTTTGACGATTAATAAAAAGAGAACGTATTATTTTAAAAAGCCAATTTGCATTACATGTACATACTATTTGTAAACAATTATTTACTAATGTATGCTCGAGGCAGTGCGTTGAGACTTTGCTCTCATCGTCCAACGTTTACGATTAAACGAATAAAATATCTACCGATCGACCGATCAACACCCAATACAATCGTTTATTTACAATTTCAGACAATTTCTCTTATCATCCGAGCATCGGCCATTCGCCTCACGCTCTCTTACCACAAAGTTTCCCAATTACAAATGCTCGGGAAACCCACGACTCGAGGATTATTTGAATAGAGATATAGTTAGATAGAGAGATAGTGAGATAGTGAGAGATAGAGATAGAGATAGAGAGATAGAGATAGAGATAGAGATAGAGATAGAGAGAGAGAGAGAGAGATATGAAGCCGCGACATTCGCCTCGAGACCCAAATTATGATCCACGCGAGCGCGCCTAAGTCAAGTTATAGTGGACGTGCAGGTGTCTCTTCCTCAGCAAAACGAGTCCGTCGTTGATCCCAGCGTGAATGAGAAGTACGCAGCCCAGCAATATGGCCGAATAGAGGAAGAAGAGCGCGACGATGCCGAGGCTCCGCTGTCAATCTCTATTCGGCGGCCTCTGCTTTCGCCGATGGTACCTAGAAGAGAGTTCATCGTCACCATTAGTCCTCGGCTTCTCCAATTTTTTTTTTATCGCTTATTCGTTAGGCGCGTTAACGATGGAGCTTGCGAGCATACTACAGGAATTGTCGAATTGTCCTGCCAATCGGGAACGATCAAGAATTTGACACTACAACTACAGACAATATCGAAATAAACGAGTATATTGTCGTAAAAATTTACTTTCTCCTCTCCTCGGACTCGGACTGGCTGTCGTCGCTCGTGCTACCACCGTCATGCTCATCGACCTCGGTGTGACGCCTCTTCTCCTTCGAATTCCTATCGAGATCCGCGACTCTCCGAGCCGACTTCTTTCGTGGCCTTTGCTCGGAGCTCGACCTCCACTCCAGGTCCTCGCTTTCCCGGTACTCTTGTTTCTGCCGTCTACGCTGTTGCTCCTGCTGCTGCTGTTGCTTCTCCTTCTCGCACGCCCTTCGGCGATCGTCGTGGCTGCGCTTACCGCGGCCCTGCGACGACGACCTCGAGCGGTCCGTCTCTTGACGCGATTTCCTAAAACGATTGTGATACAACTGTTGGCCTCTTCACCCATAAGTTCGTCTTAATGATAAAGATGGATGATGGCTCGAGAAAGACAAGACCCATAGCTAATTTACCGACACGTGACATACTCGCGTGGCTTTTCCAGCAAACGACACTTGGCAGGACAATCAAAGTTCCATGAGTTTTACAATTTACGTGCACAAAGAGTTTATTGATTTTAATGAGATTCATCGATCAACGAACAACCCTTATTTTAATCCGTATTATTAGAAAACTCGACAAAGTCATTTTTCAAGTAACTGACAAACAAATACACTCTCAATAGGATGATATTCTTAAGAAAGTTTAATCAATATTTAACCTTCGTTATTTTTTGAAATTTTTTTTCTTTGTTTTGCTTTTCGTGTTCTTTACGGTAAAGTTATATGTGACATAGCTGAACGATAATAAATAATAAAAGTAGGCTAAACCTGTGATCGCTGCCCTTATTTTTAGACGACGTGATGTACCGATCAGACGGCTCGGTATCCAAATCCTCGCTATCAACGACATTGGCCTCGAGATCCTTCCTCCTACCAGGACCTCTCATTTTCCGCTTCTTTTCTGCGTAATAGTCGTCGTTATCGTTGTCGTTGTCGTCGTCACCGACGCCCTCCTCGATCTCCTCGGCCTTACGGCGCTTCGCGTACTTCTTCACGGCATAGGTGTCCGGTCGCGATATTACACTTATGTTGCCGATCTCGTACTTATCGTACTCCAGCTTCTGTCGCTGCCTCCGACGTCGCGATCTGCTCTCGCTCTGGACGACATAGAGCCGATAAAGCTGCAGCAGAATCACTAGCGTATTCTTGCACGTGAAGAAGATGTTCATGTAGCTGACGATCTTGTAGTGGATGATGAGGATGAGCCTGAAGGCGAGGAAAGGACCGTCCTAAAAGTCGCTCCGATTTTCAATTGCTCCAGGGCGTTAGTAATAAGACTCGGGGACTAACAATCGGCCAATTGTATTACGAGTTTAAATGATATTTAGTTAAAATTAGTGATTAGTCAATGGGTAAGGCGATCGTTGCCGATCGTCACGCGCCCTTCATTAACTTGAAATGATTATTATTCTGAAACTTATCAATTTACGTGTAATCTTCATACGATGTGGATACAAAATTATTATATAATCTAAGGTACTGATAAAATTTGAAAAATAAAAAATCTGTTTGAAGAAACATTCTAAACAATTAATATAAATTGTAATCTAACTCGTACATTTAAACATTTCTCTTGCACATCTCTCATTCACCTATAATTATAAAAGAACTAACTAACGATACGTGGCAATTATTCAATTACATTAAAATTATATTCATACTCTATATTTATTGATAATTAAGTTAATAGATGAATCAAAGTAATAATGCCTACTCTCGTTGAATCACTTTTTCCTGAATTCTTTATGCTAAACTTAACGTATGCACCAATCGATTTATTATCAATTGTAATTATTAAATGTCGAGCTCATTGTACACTATGCTCATACAATATAGAGTAAATTTTTAAATACAAAAGCAATATTATACTAATGGGCATACACTACGTATTATGAATATCAAGGAGAGCAGGATATGGCTTTCTTTGCAAATATTAAAAAAATTAATCATTTTACATTTAACGTTATATATATATATATATATCGTTCTCTTACACGACTTGAATAATTCGTTTATTCTAATTCTTTTGCACCAATCAACATTCTAAAACATTGCAATAGAATATTTAAAATATTAAATGAAACAATAGAATACTAATAAAAATGAAAAAAGAAAAAAAAAATAGATTAAAATTTTTAATTAAAAATATCCTATTCTACATTTATCTAATGCAAGATTTACCTCTTTCCAATAAATAAATAACTTTCATGTAGAGCACGTATTTGTCGCCTAAATAATGTGCTTCCGTAGGAAGAGCGATTAAAAAATATAACGCGAGTGAGATGGAACGATACATTGCGAGTGATTGATTTAATAAATTGAAAAATTGCCAACGAGGCTAAACTGAAATTCGACACGTCGCAACAACCTGAAGGACCATGTTGATCCCAATTGCCCAGACGTCGATACCACAGCAGCTCGTCTTCGTCAGCACTTTCTTCCGGGCGGCTGTGCCCGATGAAAGCCGCGACTTCCTAGACTTGGTAGCCGTGAGGACGACTGTGAATTGCATAAGGGACCAAGCCCATATGCCCAAGGTCAGGTAAACCAGCATTGGCTCGCGGGCTACTTTATCCTCCTTGAACGAGTCGAAGAACTCGATTATGTCGGCGGCCGTCCCGATGTACACGAGCAACAGCTGACTCAGCTGATCTCGCGTCAACTCTCCCTTCGGCAGCATCCAACGACCGATTATCAGGATCAGCATGAGGAACTGCTCGATCAGCGTCACCCACGTCTCCGTCGAGATCTGGATGTCCGGCAAGCGGATGTTTACCTGCTTTTGTTTATCCGTTAGGTCGGGCTTGAACGATAAAGAGCTATTAGTCGAGGATCTTACGCCCAGGGTCTTCTGCAGTTGTTTCAAGTCCTCCAAATTTGTCAGATCGAGAGTGTCGTTGAAGTTTATGTTTGAGCCCAAGTTCCTCAGTCGCCGGTCGACTTTGTCAAGTTCAAGAAGCCAAATCGCAGGTACGACGCTCCCCAAATACAAAAATACCGACGGACAAAACCTAGTAACAAGAAGAAAATCATAGTTAATGTTTATATTAAAAGATTATTATGTACTTTTTTATATTTAAAGGGGACCTAGAGCTTTAAGATGAAAACTTTTTCATCTAAAAAAACTATCACTCGCTTCTAATTTTTAAGGAAATTTTTTTTACCAAATATCAAAATTACAATAATAATAATAATGTTTTTAAAATATTGGTCTTTTTATTAAATATAGTTGATCTATCGTCGCTCATTAATTTTTAATTAATTCGGTTCCTTTCAGAATCCAATATTACACGAGGAAACGTAACGCAGATTAACACTTTTTATTTTACCTTTCATTTTAACTTATAATATCTCTTTATTTCTATATTTTTGTTCTCGTTCTCTACGTTTATTCATATATTTATCCTATTAATTCCAATATATTTTTAAATTATTTTGTTTCTTTTTTTTCTCTTGTTTTGTTTTGTTTTATATTTGCTTTTGAACAATTGGAAAAAAAAACTTATTATTATTATTATTATTATTAATATTATATATCTAATAAATAACTTAGATCAATATCTCGATTAAATTTTAAATATAAACTTATTATCCTGAGTGGTTAATTTATTTAAAAAACACATCATGTATGTAGATGCGATAGTGGCTAAGTCTGTCAATTATTGTCCACTATGTAATTTAGTACGATCCATAAAAAATTGTGAATATATGTAATCGTAGTGGATTGAAAATAGAAATGTAATATACAAAATCTATTTGACATCATTAGTTTATGGGAATCTAGTTGATTACATTATTTTTTAATTTTTGATAATTATTTTCAACTACGAAAGCGAAGGCTTTTAATGGGACACTTTAATGAGTTTTGCACATAATTACGACAAATTTACATTAAAATTGTAATTATCGAATGGAAATTATTTATTCGACGATTGTTCGCTAGAAAGTAAAAGTAATAATTCGCTAAAATTTAATATAAGTGGAAAGTTATTATTGCCATTACAATCGATACTCGGCCAGACTGACCAGTCATACAGCGAATCATAAGTCATTTAAAACTTTCCATATTGAACCAAATTGCTTCGAAGAAATCAGCACGGAACTTAATAAACAAGAAATAGTTATATAACAATAAATGTTCCTTCCTTCAATTAATGATTTATAATGCAAAGGTAACATACAAATTTGTAATTATCCAATGATTATTTCAGTAAATTAACTATCCGCTTTACTCATATTTATCGCACATTGTTTTAGACTGAATAATTTTTTTTTTTCTCTTTATGTTATTTAAAAATATTAATAATATCAGTATTAATAACTCATGGAATAGTATAAAATCTATACATCATTGCAAATTATTTTAATCTATATTTATAAGTGTTGTAAGGTAAGTACTTATCAAATATTGGCTTTAATAATTCGACATACTCCTGACGAATCATTATTAAGTACAATGAGTAGAACTGTAGATATTACATAGTAAGATATGAGAATAATAATGATCAAATGATAGTAAAACTCTATACATCGACGGTTTCGAATATGATTTTTATATGAATTGGAGAATTTCAAAAAAAAAAAAAAAAAAGAAAAAAAAAACAGAAAAAATTTGTTAGAAAGGCTAAAGGTATCTATACAAAAGAAAATTTTTATTATAATCTGACGATATTTCATACGCATTGAATTTATTAAAATTGATCTTTAATTTATATCGAACTTTATATTTATATTCCAAGAGTAATTATAATCCAAAAGTAGAAATTATCGTCTCGAGCTAATATTTAATTTTATATTTCACGTTTCCAGATATTTAAGCCCTTTTATTTTTATAATTTAATTTAAAAGTCTAAAGCTATTAGTCCGAAAATTCTTCATATCACCCAAAGGATTGATGGAACGCTGGAGACTCATCTTCCACTACTAATTTCAGCCTCCCGTGCAAACTTCCCTACTCGAATGACATTGCACATATATTAGCATGGCATAATGTTAAAAACAAACAAGAAGAAGAAAATATTATACCAAATGCTTCCTCACATTTATCCATTGAGAATTGCTATGCACAAGTAAAATATTGTTTGTTCTCTGGGAAGCTCAGCTCTTAATATGTCCCATGTGCATAGCGTTTAACAAACCGAAGGCGGTCCTTGTCGAATTACGACATTCCACGCAGCATCGCGGAGAGAGAGAGAGAGAGAGAGAGAGAGAGAGAGAGAGAGAGAGAGAAACAAAAGTGCCTAGCTAAACTGACCCAGTTTGAGGTGCGCGAACCCCTGGCGATCATTCCGGCCCAGTGGCACAAAGGGGTGTGTGCCTCTCCTACCTTGTGCACGCTAATGCACAATTTCCGCCTGTCAATCCGAGAGGAAGGCTTCACCCACGTAGCCAGTCCTCGGCCGGAATTCGCACCCCTTGTGCCGAACAACGCGACTCGAGTATCGACGATTGATAAGCACATGCTATGTAACTCGCGCCCTCCATATATCCCGAGGACTATCGATGCCAAGGTCTTGGTCCTACTTCCACCTTTTAGACTTCTTTTCGCTTTCTCTTACCCGCGAGCCGTGAACACAAGTAGGAGCCAAGCCACTCTCGCCTCCCCGACTCAATGATTAACTGGCTTTTAGCGCATTCACAATTTTATTATTCGCAAAAGGTGCTTGAGCTGCGCCGTACTCAGGAATTGATTGATGCAGAATTGCCAGTTTGGCTTTTACTATTATTAATACGGTTATTATTAGCTTTCTCGGCATTTGCCTTTTTTATTTTCGTGTTTGCCACATTTTTCAGCGTCGATCGATAATTTTCTTAATACACGATCGGAGATTTTCTTGGGCAATCGAATACTGCCGCTCCATGTACCTTAGTTTCTTTCTTTATTTCATTGTCAGAAATAACGCAAAACTAACGATTTAGCCAGACCATTAATATAGATGTTTGGCAATTTATTTGATACGCGCACCCTGCTTAAACAACATGACATTTAGCATTATCAATTGCTTATTTCAAATTAATTTAAGTGACTTCGTCGTTGTATTTTTCGTCACTTTCAAGATCATTTATATGCTCGTTCGTATTATAATGAGAGGAAAATAGTCGTTGACATGGCGTGGGATTTGGGGAGGGGGTACCGGTCGAGGTAAACAAAAAATAAGACCATCGTTTGAGATAAATGAGAAAATCTATCTATTACTTACCACTTCCATTCTTGATTAGCTTTAATCGTTAATGTAAATATCCCCTCGAAGAACAAAAGAATAATAGGGCAGCAGAGATACCAATAAATTGGATTTCGCTTGAAATTCGTGACTTGCCAGATGGCTATGAATCCATGAGACGCGAAAACTAATCGCGTTATGATAGCCTTAATGCTTGCGATAAATTTCGCCATATCTTGAGTAATTGCCTCGACTTCACTACTTTTTTTTTAAATTAAACGCTTTAAATACTCTACTCTTTATTCAATTAGTCGCATACTTACACTATAAAAGACTATAATGTTAAAGGATTATTGCTTATACGGAGTTTGTAATGTTTTACATTCTATTTTTAAGGTGTGGCGATTATAAATTGAGCTACCGCCACTTACGAAATACGCAGGCGAACTGTGAAAAACTCATCCTTTAGGTGAATATCTCAGAGTTTAAATATCGCGCTTGCGCATAAGAATTATGCATCTTAAAGCAAAACTAAAAATTGATCGCACTTTCCTAAAAAGGAATGATCGTTCTTGCAAGAAGGCAAGGTAATAGGTAAATTAAAATTATCATGATTCGTCGGGTAATGTCATTGTTTCATTGTCATGTTCAATTTAACAAATTGCACATTGTTAGATGAGGATAAGCTCTTTTTTGTTTAAACTATACTCCATTCGTTGGATACTTATAACCAATTCAATATTACATTAAAGTAGAATCTGTTATTTTACTATCTAATGCTTATAAAGAAAAGAAAATTAATTGTGCACGCTTTGGAAGGACGCCTGGATGATTAAAGTAAATCTGTATTATTTTCACAATACTTCAAAATCTGCGTATCGTGCGAATCTTATTTTGAAACCTTAATTATGTATTGTATTAATTATATAGTAAAAAATAATTGTATATTTTTATAAATTTTATATAATTTTACAAAATTTTTAAATTACATCATTGATTATTATTGTTGTTGTTGTTGTTGTTGTTGTTGTTGTTGTTGTTGTTGTTATTATTATTGCTGCTATTATGAAACTAACAATGTTTATGCACCGCTGTGTGCGTGTGCGTGTGCGTGCGTATGAGCGCGCATGAGTTAACGCAACTAAATAACAGACATTTTGAAAAATATGAAATATACATATTAATGATTTAATTTTGTTTTTCAATAATTTTTTTAAAAATATTTTATTCACATCAATGTATGTCAATTTATATATAATTGTTACACATTGAAAACAAACAAAGTAAGAAAATTTTTTATAATTGTATTATAAATACTTTTTTTTATTGCGAAAATACGCAAATAATAAAAGAACGAATAAATTTTAATACAAAATTACGTTCGAATGAAATTAAAAAAAAATTACTTCGTAATTTGTAATAATCTTCAAATGACAACAATAAAACAATACATTTGCTATTATAGCTTATTTAATAATAATCGAAATTCATTCGTGACGATTCGAGTAGACACAAATGTCTAAAAAATGCCAGTCAACTTTACAATAAAGATTTATACACTTATTCGTTAGATTAGATTATATAAAAAAACATTCTAATTAAATTTATTTAATTTCACATAAAATATGAGCATAAATTTTCCAGAATCCCATCCTAGAAAAAAAAATCTACTAATATCTGAATTAACACTTATTTGCGTAATTTAAACTCGTATTGCTCTTAATTAATAAACGTACGCGCAGTTAAAATTATCCGCATTCGTAATAAACAAATTAATTTCCTTCCTATTAATACGCGAAGAAAAATGTAATGTGTTAATGCAAGAAGAAAGGATGTTCTACTTTTCGAGAGAATTTTTGAAGAAATGTTTGATCTCTAGCTGGAAAAGAAAATATCGACTGGCTTGTCTTATTACCTATGTAACCGTAATATGATAGGCCATTCATAATCTGGTCATAGTCGATCCATCGACACCTGAAACTAGGAGGGAAGCTCGACACGATAGATCTGACTTCAATTTGTCATCCTTGTCAAATCACCGGATAAAAATAAGCCCATCAAAGAAAGCTTAATGGCTAATGGCTAAATTATCTAAGTTGCTATTCTTGTAATTTAAGCGGTTGTAGTGAAACAAAATATTTATTCGCATAAGTATCGCCGGATAGAGGATAATCGATTGGCCGAGAAAAATGTATTTTAACAATATTACCGACTGCTTACCGCGACTAAAGTAGTAAGTAAGCAAAGTTCTAGAGTTCGGTAATGAGCGGAGATACGGAGGGAGAGAGAGAGAGAGAGGACTTGTAATTCCTATAATATTCTTGAACCATTTTTTAATTTATCCCAACTGTAAAATGACTTTCAAGACATATCATTAATATTGATCCATATTGTTAAAATGATTATTTAATGGTTTAATTAGTTTATTAATAAAACTTTTTTTTTTTTTTTATAATATATAAGATCGTCAAGTAGGCTAGGATTAATCATTGAAATTAATTTCTCTATTTTATTTGACTTTATAATACAAAGTCCATGCTAACTATTCTATATCATTTTTTATGTTCATTTTAATCCCTTTTTTTTCTTCTTCTTATTTATTATTATTATTATTATTATTATTATTATTATTTATTATTATTATTATTATTATTATTATTATTATTATTTATTATCATTATTATTATTATTATTATTATTATTATTATTATTATTATTATTATTATTATCATTATTATTATTATTGTTATTATTATTAACTACACAGAAAATGTATAAACTATGTAAATTATAATTAACTTATTCAAATAATTTTATCATGGAATCACCACTCAAGAAAAAAATCTGCTTACATTGGAAAATCAGTGATTATTTCTCAGATGTTTATTTTTCACGTCCTATTTGAAATATTTCATAATAGGCCGTTAAATGAAAAAAGTATAAAGGGTCACTTCAAACTTTATTTTTTATTAAAGAATCAACTTGTTAATACAATTATTTTTAACATTGGTTGGTCGTAATCTACGCCTAACGTCTACGCATAACGCTAAAGCAATGGACATTGTTAATACTAGAAAAATATTGAATGACAATTCTAAATAATACATATGCGTATCAAATTTAATATATAAAATATCTGTTGCGATCGAGACTTGAAGATAAAACAATAATCTAATCGTTCATTATAATAATACGTTAAATCAAAAAGTAGTTACTCTCAATTTATTGTTGCAGCCAGTAATGTTTTAAGGTGACTTCAAACAACTTTTACGCCTCCATACCGTAAACCTTAAAGTCTATTGACACGCGCTCTTATTTAAGGAACATTTGCTTAAAATCTTTTTTTATCAACAAACATACCAATTTCCATGCCACTGATTGCTTATGCGAAGGCGAGGAGAGTTTACCATCATTGAATAAAAGCAAAGAGCACAATATACGTAAAATAAAGTCTAAACGAATATACAGATTGGTCCATTAGACCAATGTAGTAATTATAAAGTGAAGAAAGTGGATAAAAGTATTTTTTCTCTCTATTTTTTTTTTTTTTTTTTTTTTTTTTTTTTTTTTTGATTTATAAAAAAATTCATCAATGCGGATAGTACATATTCAGCAATATGGGTAGTAAATAATTTTTTAACGAATAGTACTACATTTGAAAGCTGAATATTTCGATGGTGTTGAATATATTGAATATACTGAATATATGGAATGGCGATCAGCGTATCAATCAAAACGAATATACAATACGACAAAACAAAAACAAAAACAAAAACAAAAAACCAAAGAAAGCGGTACGAAACGCACTCTATGTAGTGAAGAAATATTTATACAAATTACTCCCCTCTCGCGCATACGAAAATGCTCTCTCGAATGCTGTTTTTAATCTCCCCCCCCCCCATCCCCCCCTCCCCCTTCTCCTTTCCTCTCGCCACGCCAGTGCGTAATCCTGGCGAAATTTTCAAAAATCTACATCTGTCACGCGAGTACGTCGTTTATATACTTACGTAAGCGTGCTGAAAGCGACCGGACGTCCCTTTCAGCCTCTGTATAAGCTCCCGAAACCAAAGGCGACGCGAACGAGGATCTTATGGTTAGTGCGTCCGTCCACCGGGAAGAGAAATTGAGTTAATCAGTGAAATTTTAAGTGCATGGTACAGTGGGAAACTCGAACAATTGGCGCGCGCATGCCTGGGAAAATAAACAGCAGAGGAAAAGCGCTGCAGCAGCGCCAACTCCCAGTATAAAAAAGATGCCATCGATGTTGTGCACGAAATCGCCGTTGTTGCCGCCACCGCCGCCTCCACCGTTGCTCCCGTCGTCGCTGCGGTCGCCGTCACTGCCGCCGATGACAACGAGGACGACGACGACGACGACGACGACGACGACGACGACGACGACGACGACGACGAGAAGAAGAAAGAGGTAGAGGAGGAGGAAAGAGATTATTTATAAGAATTGGTTGTGTGCCGTTTGCGTCGAGAATATCGCCGTCGCGTAATCTGACGCCGGCCAGTGCTCTCAGCTGATGTTCGCGGGCCGAAAAAGATTAAGAAGCTGCTGCTGCTGCTGCTGCTGCTGCTGCTGCTGCTGCTGCTGCTGCTGTCGACTTGACGACGCGCGAGCACCGAACATTAACCGCACAATTATGCATCAGCGACTGTTATCGCAAGGCGCGCAACAACGCTTCAGAATCCAAAGGTAGCCATGCGTGGATGCATGCGACGTGTATGCGTGTGTGCGTGCGCGCGTGTGCGCACGAAGCAAGATGAGTAGAGAATCCATGTCATGCTGGGGTGAAGGGACTTGTCCAACACCGATAACCCAATGCTCAACTGGGAATACGTTTACTGGCTAGTGGCTGCCGTGGTGAAGAGGGGCTTTTTATTTCGATGGCGAGAGATTTTGTTATTATTATCCCGAGCGGACGCCTTTTGCTAATTAGTCCCTTTTTCCATTGTCCTTAGGTGTGATTAAGGCTGTTTGCCGAGTTGTTTTATTGTACCAACTCCGGTCAAGGTCGACCTCTACGTTTCTTCTATTTGTCATATTTGTCAGAGGGTTTGGAAATTATTGCGGTTAACTGGATTAGATGGATTATTGCGTGCTGACAACTGCTTTTGTAATGAACGTCGGTCGTGTCGCTTTGGCTACTTGGATAATTCGAGAAATGGCATATCACGAGTCGTCGTAACGGTGGGTATAGTGGTGACGAGGCGGGGTGGATACGGGAGTTAGTAGTAGTAGTAGTAGTAGTAGTAGTAGTAGTAGTAGTAGAGGAAGAAGAAAAAGAAAAAGAAAAAGAAGAAATAAAAAAATCTCCCGATCACACGCACAAGTCTATAAGATAAATCACGCGCATAGTCGATGTTCGTCACGACAGACACGTCACACGACGATTCTTAATTTTACCGCTTCCTGCTTGAAAGGAATAAATAATAAAATATTATCCGAGTAATTTCTTCGTGTATTGGCTGGCAGAATCGAGCAAAAAGTTATTTATGGATTGCCAAAAGTTCGTGAAACTAATAGAAAGCTCGTGAGTTCTTCATATACTTATTTCGTTTTCTTCGTCAAAATGACGGTTTTTTTTTTTTTTTTTTTTTTTTTTTTTACAACCTGTTAATACATTTAAAAAACGGGACTGTGTTTTTTCTCAAATTTTACTCGCCAGCTTCATTTTTATCGATAAATAAACTTTTATTAAAAAGAACAAAATGTCTTTTTTTCCTTAGAAAGCATAAAAAAAAAACATCATTAATTCATACTCTTAGAAAATGATTATTCTTATTATTTTTAATTCATAATCTCGTGTGCTCTTGTACTTTGGGTATATATTTTTTCAGTATTTTTTTTTTCATTCTCTTTTTGAATGAATGATTGATTAAAATATTGTGTATTGCTTGAATCCGAAGGCATCTACTTAATTATATTTGTAATTATTTACTTTATAATTACGTTACACGAGGGTTCTTAGGTTAGATCAAACGGAAAATACAGATAAAAATTGCATCTTTTTTCTAACGAACAATAATCTTTCGTAAATGATATTTATGCAGTTGAGATGTTTATTGTTTAAAATTGTACACATAATTTATTTGTACATGTAGTTTGGAAATGTGGCATTTAAAAATTTGGCACGTTAAAAAATAAATAGATTCAATTTCAAGTTTTCAATTGTTTTGGCCTGTAAAATATTTATTACCATTTGTAATGTGTATGTATTTTATTAATTTTGCATTTAATAGTGTTAATGTGAAGTACTGCGAAAAATTTACTACCTAAATTCTTGCTTATTTCTTAACGTGTTAATTTCTGAAATTATGCTTTACTCGCATAACGTTTTATTTGGATTATTCTTGCTGGCTTATTTACTTTATTACACATCATATTAATATTCTTAAATAACGTTAAACTATGTAATTACTTCCAGTACTCTATCTAAGATATACTTTGCTTAACTGCTACGTATCTCGTTTGATTTAGAATTTTATTATTAAGTTGTATAGTAAGTATGTATGTAAAAAAAATTTTTATACAGTATGAGCAGTTATTCGATTGTAGAATTATAAAATTAGTATATATGAATGTATGAACTAGTACCTTTAAAGAATTCAAAGTAAAATTAATTGCAAACACAAAGTGTTTATGCTGTCATATTAACTGGATACATTAATTTAAGGTGATATTTACTATTGTTTCTATTTGTATTCTCAATGATTCAGGCATGAATCAATGATTGAGTACTTAATTAGATTGAGATAATTATTTTATCAACAAAGACAAGCGCTATCTTAAGTTGTCCTGTTTTTTTTATTTTTTACAGATGAATATTTCTCTTTACGGAATCACTGGAGCAATTTTTATTTTGCTCTTTGCCATTTTTAGTTTTACTATATTCCTAAGACTTCTGTCATGCATAGCCGTTTTGACATTAGGGTAAGAATAATCTTATCCATACATCTCAATAAATAACTATAACAATTTTCATCTAACCATTTTATTCTGCTCCTCTTCTAATAATATTTCCACGTTTACTTTTAGAATTGTGACTTGCGTGTATAGAAAAAATATTGTAAAACTTGAGGATGAAGTTTCGTCTCAGAGGGAAAATCTGTTTAAAAAAACAGAAAAATTACAGCAGGTAAGGAGATCTAAATTATTGAGAATAATCTAATAATATAGTATATTTAAAAATATATTTATTTTCCAGTACCTTTTGGAAGAGTCGAAGAAAAAGGTGACGTTTACATTAGACAAAAGAGTCACTGGCAGCCATATTATTGATGAATCATTACAAGTATGGATAACTTAAAATTTACTAACTTTAATCTCTTGTTGTTAAATATTATTACCTTATTTACAGGAAATACTAGACTTTGTCTTACGAGATTACGTTGAACCCTGGTATGGTGCCCTAACCGACGATGAAGAATTTACCAAATCTGTCAGGGATACTGCGCAAAAAATTGCTATTAATATAGCAAACAGGTAGGATGAATTTATATATATTATATATTATATATTATACATTTATAATACATATTATATACATAATCTCGCAATGCCTACGACTGTAGATTAATTGTAAAATTCATCGTGATCTTAATAATATCGAATCCTCGTATAATTATTAGATACTGAGAATCCCAATAGTATTAATTCTCAAATTATATCGAATAATTAATTAATGTGTATAATATTTTTAAATTGCGTTACCTAATGAATAAGTTTATGGGCAATTATTAGCTGTAATGTTATACATTCACTAATGTTTTGGTATTATCATTAGGGTGAAAGATGTCGATTGGATTCCATATTTGACAACAAGACTCGTCGACGATGCTGCTTCACATATGAGACTCTATAGACAGGCTAGAGCGAAGGTGAAGCATCTGAAATGCTTGCAAACTCCAAAAGGTGGTAGTAGCTCGAGCACTTCGGGCGGAACGCCAAAGAAAACTCCAACCCATCGCAGAAACAAAAGCGAAACAGATGTATTTTGGTATTCGCAATCAAAGTTTTACATTCCAAATCTATCAGCTTTAAATGAGCCGATCGAAGCTAAAAATGAACATGAAATTGAATCCTTGGAAAAAGTATTCTTCGATCTTGAAGTGCAGATGGAAAATAATCTTATTTGTCGAGATTTAGTTTGCACCGATAAAGCTCAGGAGTTAGCTTTTCTTGGAGAGATATCGGAGATCATACTTTATCTCCTACTGCCAAAATCTGATTTTGATTGTCTCACTATGCGATTTATTTTGAGAGAACTTTTGGTCAATGTTATCATCACACCATTGCTCAATCTTTTCTCAGATCCTGATTATATTAATCAGGCTTTTATATGGCTGGTAATTATTGATATAATTATTTAATCATTAATTTATAAATTGTCCAATTGTCTCTTATAAAATTACTTCTTTAACAATTCAAAGTACCAATGCTTTCTACGTGTGATACATAATCTTGGATTAATTGAAATAATAAGAAAGCAGAAAACAAGGGAAAACAGATTGAAGTGATACACTATAATTCTCTTTAATTATTTACTATGATTATTCGCGCTAAAAATTCTTGTAATAAAAAAATCTAATCAAGGACAGTAATAATATGAATTTGAGTTAACATTTTTATAACATTGTTAGTATAGACATCGATACAAAATACTTTACGTTCTGTATATCACAGCGTACCTCTATATCGAATTAAATTTAAAAGTTATTAATTAGTTTTTGTTTTCAAGATCATTTGGCAATTACTTCCATAAAATTTTAAATTCGAATATTCAAGCTACTCGATACTTTAACTTGAAAAACGTATGTTGGTACATTGATTCCAGTGCACCAAGGATGCCACTTTACCAAGCGATGTATTTTTAACTGTCATGAGGATGACAGACAGTTTAGAGGAATTAATAGCGACGAAACATATAGTTTGCAAAGAAATAGCTCATCTGCGCTCGAAAGATTCCGGCGGTGAGGATGATCTGACCGTAAAGCAGCAACTAAACAGTCTTCTGTATGTTAAAAAGCTTTTGGAAAGTCGTATAATTGGAATGAAGGAAGGCTTGGATGCAACGGAAGGTGATGGAATTGGTCCTATTCCTGATTGGAACCGATTGCTCGTGCCAGGACATAAATTAAGTATGTGGTTTGTTTTTAGAAGATTTTTATGACTTTTAATAGAATTATAATAATACAGTATTAGTTTGTGTTCGACTTTAAAGAATAAAACGTCCGTATAACAATTATTTTAAAATTATATTATTAAATGTCGATGAATTCAATACTCGCTGAACATGTACATAAATGCCAATTTTCTTATGTAATAGTAAACTTGCCGCTGGATGAGCTGCTGAAAAATAATATAGCATTGAGCTATTTTATTGATTACATGACTAATGTAAATGCTGAAGCCTACCTTTATTTTTATCTAAATATTTATGGTTGGCGAGTCTCGGCAGAACAACAGCTTTCGGATATTGAATTACTAAAAATACGTAGTGTGCAGTGTAACCTGACCAGGTATTTATTTAATATATCTAAAGCTAATAGTAATAATAATAATCTCGTGTAATTTGTTCTTGTCTCTTAATGTTAGTATAAGAGATGAATATGAAATACAATTGAAAAATAAAAAAAGTATTCTTACATTCAATATTGATCTTACATTGAAATCAAGTAGACATCAAAATTTTACACTACGCAATGCATCATAATACGTTTGTCATTGCATTTCAGAGTCATGTAATGTTTAATTTTATCTATTATAATACATACCGGACGATAAAAGTATATTGTTATTATTTTACAGTCTATTGAAAAAAAAGAACATTGATTTGGAGAATTTGAAGGAAGCTGCAGCGAAGATATACCAGCAATATCTCAGCGATAAAGCGTCGTCAAAACTTCAGTTAGACGATGCTCTTGTAAAAAGTTTGCTAACTAAGATAAAAAACGGGCAAGTTAAAAACACGTGGTTCGATGAGCTAGAATCTTGTTGCTACGAGAAACTTCAAAACGAAGATAGGTTTTTACCAGCGTTCAAAAGGTCAGTTTCCTATCTGAAATTACTGGCAGAATTGGATTTACTTAAAGATCCAGCATCGGAGGATGACTCTAAGTCATTAGACAGTATTAGCTTGTCAAGTATCAACAATGAGTTGGATACTCTTGAAGAGCATATTGAAATACAGAAAGATGGTGAAAAGGTTAAAAATGAAGGTAAACGATACTTTATCAGAAATCTTATTAGCATTAGCATTTAACCGAACGTTATTTCTTCAAATCTATTTATTATTTTAACTCGAATGCATATTGAATACACGTGTGTTTACTTGAAAATATATGAAAAATTTGATAACCGTTGTGAAGAATTGTGAAAGTTAATACGGTCCTGATATTTATAGAGGCGTGCTACATTATTCAAATGCTTGAAAAATTAAAACAATAATCATCAAATTATTGTAAATATTTATTATTTTGTTTGTACTTTGTTGTACTTGTATTGCAATTATATTTCAACTAATAATTATTAGCTGTTATTAGCAGATTAGAAAAGAACGGAATGCACATGATCATTTATTATTATTATTGAAGAAAAAATTTTCTTACAGTAACATCCATCAGCAGAGAATCCAAAAGCAAATCAAGTTCCTGCGATGAGTTATTAGAAGGGAGCACGTCCACCGATTGTCGCGATGAAAGACTTCTTCGTCAGCCCGTGGACAGCTGTCGCATCAGCGAGGGTAAGGACATGAATTTTTACATGGAAGCCAATACGGAACAGTTTCTCAAATTCGACAATACCGCCTACGATCAGAACGTGATAAAGAAGCTGCAACAAGGTCGCTTCGAACTAACCGTTGAGATAATCGAAACCGGCATTGTGAATGATAAGGGCAAGACATACGGTATTTATGCCGTCGCCGTGTCTAAGATCTATGACTCGGGCTATCAAGAAAAGTGGCATATTTACAGAAGATATTCGGACTTTCACGATCTCTATCAGAAGATCAAGGAGAAGTACTACGATCTAGCCAAGATACCATTCCCCGCGAAGAAAGCCTTTCACAATATGGACAGAATTGTATTGGAGAGAAGGATGGTGATGCTAAACGCGTGGCTAGTGCAGCTGACGAAACCCGCCGTTGTCGATGGTCATATGGGATTGCAGAATCTATTGCTTTCATTTTTGGAACAAGGGGATTATGATAAGGGTGTCACCGGCGGACATATCTCGCGAACCGTGAGTCCTCGAATCTTTCAAAAAAAAAAAAAAAGGCTTAATCGTTATGCTTTTTGAAAGATAAATATTTTTAATTACAACTTAATTCCACATACATGAGATTGAGAGAGAACAATTTCACAAGCTGACGTATGATTAATTGATAAAAACGTGGCAAGAAAATTATTGACGATTGCACGACACGGTTTTGCACGATAAATTAAAATTTCTTATACATGGTAATGAAATAGCTTATTGTATTTTTGAAAAAGAAAATCTATAAATCCTTTTTGTATTTAAGATAATATGAAAAAAAAAAAAATAAAATAAAAAAAAATGCTTATATCGTAGATTCATTGTAATTCTCTTTTATACACATGTATATATATATTAAAAATATCAGTCTTTATGAGAATTCTTTTAAATTTCCACTATAATGTCATGATATTATAAATATTGAGCATTGTGATGTTATATCTGTAACATTCTTATTTCATACGATCGAAATAATGTTTAAAGATTAATGATACATAAGTTTGATTGATTTAAATATGGCATTAAATGTTAAATTTGTAGTCTTTTAATTTAATTCGTCAAAGTATGAAAATTGATCGCATACCTTAATTACAATGAACTTTAACAATAATTTTTAATTTAATGAACAAAATGAGAACATTTGTAAATTTGAAAAAAATTTTTAATTTCAAATGCCAAGATAATTAAATGCAACACGTTGCGCAACATGTATTAAACTATAATTATAAAAGAGTTTAAATCATATATTAATAGATGTTATTATAATAAATAATAGGAGAATATTTATATTGAAAAGTATGGTTTTAAATCGCTTTTGGTATATATTATTTGACAGTTAAAATATTCCAATGATAAATGAACGAGCAGGATAACTACACTTTTAAGCTACTAGTCGTATTACAAAGTATTCAAGTTCATTTGTTACAAAACTTCTTACATGTTTAATGTTTCATCGAAGATTGAATTATTTTATAGATCGATACATTGGTAAATCCATTAAAGACTTCTATGAAATCAGTGACTCAGGCTGTAAAGACGATGCCTGACAATATGCTGAATACAGTCGATGGTGTTATGGACAATATCAGTAAATTCTTTGGAAATCACAAGAAAAATAGTGTTCTTTATGAAAGTGTTAAGGTTGGAGCAAGTCTCGATACAGAGGTAATTTTTCGATTTTTAAATTGTGATGAGAAAAGCAAAAAAGTCAATAATCATTTATTATCAAAAGAAGCGCGGTAGCTTGAGAAAAGGCGAGACAAACGTATTTTTATTTTCTTAGTCACTCTATAATATGGCCAATTTTATGTTCCACTGTTAAATGTTGATATTTATTTTTTAATATCCTCATTCCGAGCGTTAGAATATTTTTTTAATTGTTGAGATAATAAATTTCGTTATATAATATTGGAATGTTAATTGTTGTGTAAAAGATTCATCTAGTGATTGAAATTTATGAAACCTTTATATTTTAATAATTTAATATATTATTTTATATTTTATTTAATTTAAACCTCTATATTTTCTAAATATCATTAAATTACTTGTAAATTAAAGCTTACAAGGTTATTGTTATTTCCTAATTCGATTGAAATGATGTTGAAAGTAGTAAATAAATTGTAAATTTCTCCCATCAATAAATTGACAAGATAATATACATTTTAAATTACATTGGACATTTGCAATTCAATGGACTAATTGATATATAATTTCAGACCGACGATAACATTCCTTTACGAATTATTCTCCTTCTGATGGACGAAATCTTTGACTTGAAAAATCGCAATCAATGGCTGCGACGTAGAATAGTTACGCTACTCCGGCAAATTATCCGTACTATGTTTGGTGATATAGTTAATCGAAGAATAGTTGAGTACGTCTCTTTACTCACTAGTCCAAAGAACGTAGCTACGTATTTAAAAATATTCAAGTAAGTATTAGTTGATAATAGGGCGCCCTAATTATTGATTAGTCATTTCCTTCTTCAATATAACGTTGTTTAATCCGAGTTATTTTCAACCGATGGATAATGACGGATAATCGATAATCGATCAAACGATATTGCATCATTTTTCATCACTTATGATTTCAAATGAAAGTGCGAAATGTTAATGTAAAGTGCCTGGATTTAATAAATCCTCTTTCGTATGAAATTATTAATGTCACGCTGTGATGTTCACCTCACTGGATTCGGACATTATAATATTTTTCATCCGAACCGGGATAGAACGTCGACGAGTGCGCAATGGGAATAATGCATAATATTATTTGTCGCAGACACAGTTTTTGGCCGAATGGCGTGCGCGCCGACTCGAAGCCTCCACGCGACCAGGAGACGAAGAGCAGAACCCGCGTGGCTGCCAAGGTCGCCCTCCTCTCCTGCCTATCGGACGAGCTGAAGCACATAATCGGTAGCGAGACGACGCGACGCGGACTACTCCGGGTCTTCGAGCTCTTCCAACGGCCGATGCTCAATCGTCGACTACTCTACGTACTGCTGGAGGGGATTGTCGAGAACCTATTCCCCCACACGGACCTCGTCACGATCTTTCGAAAGATGTACTCCGTGTCGCCTAGGGTTAGGAGCAAGTGCAGGGCCAAATCCTGATACTTGGACTCGAGTGGAGCGCGTTAAATGAGGTGGATTGGTCTGGATTGGAATGGAAGATGACACTTTCATTTCTCTCATACTCATTGACCATTCGTAGACATGGGGCTCCGTTTATGTCCATTATTATTATTATTTTCACTATTATAAATATGTGTGTGCGTGTGTGCGTGTGTGCGTGTACTATTATATAATAAAATCTAAATGATTTAGCTATGCAATGTTAGAATGATAAGGATATCTTTGCTTCAAGGGGGACTTGATATCTATGACGCAAGATACAAGTGCTCGATGACTTAAAACTACGATAGAATCTGACATAAGAATCTTGAAAAATGAACGATAACGGAGTACGAGTTAGAGTTTAATTTTTAATTAGTTGAATGAATAATTTAATAATGATTCCGACGAACCGATTTATGAAGTGTAATTTATGGTATTAAAAATAAGAGAATTGGCAATGTGTGCGAAAGTTTTCTCACTAAACGCATAGTTGTAAAGCTTGATGACTTTATAAATTATTATCTATATTCATTTATTTTTTAAATTAAAGGCGATATTTTTCTATTAAAAACAAAACAAAAAAATAACAAGAAAAAAAGTAATAAAACAGAGAGAGAGAGAGAGAGAGAGAGAGAAAAGTTTTATAGCAAAAGAAGTTCTGGATTCTTTTCTACTTTTGTAATTTTTTTTTTTCTTTTCTTTTTTTACATTTGTAAACATTTGAAAATATTTATCAGATCAATAGAGTTTCAATGTATACATAAATATTATTCTCGAATAATTTTTATACGGCAAATCATACTCAAAATTAAAGTTCTTGAAACAGTTCGTGTAAATAATATTGAACACATTACTTACAATTTCAACTAAACTCGATTATTTCTCTGAACAAAAACAAAACAAAAAAAAACACACGCACACACACAAAAAATAAAAGAATCAATGCATTGGAAGGACTGAAATTAAAGAAGAATCCATGAGCTTCGTTGTGAGAAAATTAAATTTTGATAATGTTAATTCCACTACAGAATACACATCTATATAAACTATATATTTTCGAAATTTAAAATTCAATAGAATAATTTGTATTAGTACTTCGCATCAATTGTTTTCCAATTATTGTAGTATTAATTATGTCATTTTTATGATAAAACATTTAATTCGTTAGAAATAGCAATTCAGTGATATGGCGAATACATAGGCCTATATATACGATGTATTCTTCTTAAGAAAAAAACAAAAATGAAAATATGAAGGAACGTTTAATCATTAATCGCATTAACAGGGAATCACATGTAATAATAATACATTTCTGGAGACTGGGGATATTAGCCACGATAACTCACTCTATATAATCAAATATAATCATAATATTCGAATTCCATTATTTTTAAGGGGTCGTTAAGAAATGGTCGAATTGAATCAGTTGCATTTATTGAAATAAGTATATGATATAATATTGAAGCAAGATGCATATATAAATTGACTAACTATAGATCATGTATATTATAATGTGTGCGCTAATCATAGAATGGAGAGCCGTATTAAATTTATTGAATGAATTTTATTTTTATTTTGAAAACTCTACTGTCTTTTATTTTATTTTTAACGAGCGATGCTGATTTGAAATTTGCTTTTACGCTTTATCTTGAACATGATGCAATTTCGAAACAATACTTTCATAACAATTTTTAACAATTACCATACGAGGGTATGCAATAGAGAACAATGCTTATTTATCCTTTTATACAAGGCGTTAAAGCAAACTCACCGAATGTTTTGTCTCCGAGCAATATCAATGCTCCATATAAGCAAAAATATAGATTTTAATTTATTTTGCTGAATATTTAAATTATTCTGTATAAATTCTATCATAATTTTTAAAAGACATTTCATTTTGCATAATTGTAAAATTCTTTTAAATTTTATTTTTATATATAAAAATGATACAGACCAGAAATAATGTGATTTAAATATTTTATTCATTTTATTGTTAAGACCTGATTTGAGAATGTAATTATAAAAAAAAAAAGAAAGGAATTTTTATTTCTCTTTGAAGATACATGTAATTGTGAATTTACATAATCTTAAAATTATCGAATTTAATGATACAAATATTTATCTATTAATTTTTTTATTTTATGCTTGAGAAAAAAAATTTCTTTTATGTAATTCTATTCTATTTCGATTTTATACCATCAAAATTTCGTTAACGATTGCTGTTTTTTTTTTTTTTTTTTTTTTTTTGTCTTTTATATATATAAAACAATAAAACTTCATTTTCATTTCATAACGAGACAAAAATCAGTCAATATTTGTAATATTAATTAAAAGTTACGATATTTCAATGAAATTTAAAATAATTTCATTTCAGAATATTATGAAGACTGATAAAGATTTTACGTTAATGTTTATCCATAATATTTTTTCTTTTTCAATATTATAATTAATATTATAATTACCGTGCCTATTACTTCGTTTTCTCTTAAAAAAAAAAAAAAAAATCGTTTTGCCCAAGGTAATTCTAAATATAATACTGTAATAGATACATATCATTAAATATATGAGTTACAAATTTTTTTTATAAATTTCTACTTTGATGTACGTAATATATAATGAAATTGAATAACATGAAAACCACTTATGATGCATTTATTTAAGTATATTTTTATAAAAAAAAATGAGGTATCTTTTAATACACAAGATTTTGTAATTTTATAATCTTCCATTAAATAAGAATAATTGATTTTAAGAGTAAAAAATAAGTCATTTTGTTATTAAACAAAATTAATCATTGTACTATTAAATTATTAAATAGCACTGATAATGAAGTAATTTTATATGATGAGTAAATTGATTATAAAAATTTATATTTTGTTTGTTGATTTAATTATTTATGTTTATTAGGCAGTTTAATGTTTTTATTCTGATAACTATTTTTGTTAAATATATTATTCATTACTTTTCTATATTTTTCAATTAATTTAATATAAAATGTTCGTTGCATATCTTTGACATATCGCATTGACAACTTGAGCATGATTTCATGTTATTTGTATAAAATTTGTAAAACTTTTGATAAATGTACAAACAAATTATAGTAATCGTTTTCAACTATCTAATGTTTACTAATTTTTATTCTCTTACACCATCGATACATCAATATGGTCATTTAATCCGACAATTAAACTATTACTTACTAATATATAATAAAATTTTTTTTTTTTATTTTATTCCTAATATTATGTCATATTATTTTGTACTAAAAAATGACTAAAAAAAAACTATATTAATTCTTTGATTATGTGTTTCTATAATTTTACTAAACAAACTTTAACGTATAAAAGAAAGTGAATCTTGTAGAATTTCAGTTAATGCTTGAAAAAATTTTGTAAATCAATCCGCTGTAAACGAAATGATAAACAAATTTATCTTAATTAACTGTGCTATACATGAATTATAGACTAACAATTTACATTTAATAATTATATTAGAAATCATAACCAATGATAAATAGTTTTTATTAAAAAATAGTTATTAAATACGATGTTGACTGTTTTATACCTGAATAATTGTACGTACTTTATTTAAATATTTAGACTGAATAAATTTATATACTAAAGACAATACGCTAACACGAATGGATTCATTGTGGATTAGGTTTACCTGATATAATTTTACTTTTGAATATTCATTATTTCCCATTGAATTTCCTAATTCTTATAATTAAAATTAAATAATGTTGTTAAATAATTGGCATTATTTTTATTCTTTCATTTGACATTTAAATTTATAAATTTCGTTATACATTTTCTTCTTGCACAATAAAAGATTTTTTTTTTTTTTTTTTACATCTATTATTTCATGTTTTTTAAATTTATTTCATTAGTCAATAGAAGTTTCAGTTATTACCTTAGTTTATTTTAAAAACATTGCTCTTTGGAGTTGTTTTTGTATAGGAAGAAAAAAATTGATCCATATCGTAATTACAATATTTTTGTTTTGCTGAACAAATGAATTTGTATAATTTAATTTATCGTTAATATACATCATTAGCATAATATTTTGCTGCGCTTTTTGTTTTTATAAATTATTATGTTAAAAATTTTATATCATATGCTATAGTATTTTATTAGCGTATCACGATAATATTTATATCATCGATTTAACGATGCCTAATTATTGCATAATTTCATTAAATCTTAATCTCCTTATAAATTTTTAAATAAAATTTTTTTTTAACCTTAACTTTATATTATCGTGGGTCGGTATGAGACATTGGCTATTTATAAAATAACTAATGTCTAGTAATTTTAAACAATTTAGTGATATCTACGTGAGAAATGTTAATATTTTCCAACTAAACATGGACTGAGAAAACATACGTGGGAAAAGTTTTCATTCCCTACGATATGAGGATAAATACGGATAGAGTTAAAATAAATTAGCGACGCCAATTGATCTTTCTTTCCCTTATAAATTAGATTACTATTTTTTTAAAAAAATTCATCGTATTATTGAATATTTTTACCAAACCACGTTTGCGAAACGGATAATCCTATCTAATCTAAGTAAATGCCCGAAAATAATACCGTTGTAAAAATTACAAAATTTATACACAAATTAACCACCAATGTATACTGCATTATATCTGCTAATTGTACGAGCCATGTTTTTTTTAAAAAAAAAGATTTTAATATTCTATAAATTTTCAAGCAGTTGAAAGTTTTTAATATTTTTATTTGTACAGGGCTTTGACGGTAATTATAAGTTGTACATTGCCAGATTCAATAATTGATTTTCTCTCATTATTACGTATATTATTTATTGGTCAACTTTAGTGAATGCTGTTGAAGATGGTGAAGTATTATTTGTAATAGAACGAATAATTGATTCATAACTATTAATCAAAGATCGCGTTTAATGACAATTTCATTTTTTTTTGTTGAGATTTTTTTCTTTTATATAATACGTCAGTCTGATATTTCATCGACGTCTCAATTGTGTGAATTTTATAACCAGTGGGATACGGAAATAAATTTTAAGTATCCGTATAAGAAAAAAAGTAGAAGCCCCGCGAACGAGCAATTGCGAAAAGACACTTTTAGAAAATATTCCTTATTTTTATCATAAATGTTTATTCCAATA